GCATTTTGGGAATTTCCCCCTTTATTTTTTTTAAAACAAAGTACAAACAATAACATTTATCAATTTACTGATTTATACAAAATTAAAAAAAAATACAGAAAGAAGAATTCGCTCAAAAATTAGAACCGAAAGTGCATACAATGTATTAAAGTTTTTTGATTCTAATTTCTGTCAATTCGAATTTATAACAGTTCTAATTTGTGAGCCACTACTGTATTGTTATATACATATTATTATGCATCTTTTATATCACAGAAATTACTTAGATGATGCTTTAAAAACGATAAATAGGTGATGTTCAATCTACAAATAATAAATAACTAACTATAAAATTTATAATAAATAAGTTAACAATTAAGCAACATGGAAAGAAGACAATCTTTCCAAATTCTAAGTAGTTTCTATTTCATCAACTAAAGCAATATTAATTATTCATTAAAACACTGAATAATTACAATATTAAAAAATTATTTAATAGTTATAGAAAACCATTGTTAACTAAAGCACTCAAACTTAAGCAGTGAAAATTATTCGTATAGTAGATAATGGATATATGTATGTATGTATGTATATTTATTTTTATTTTAAAATTTCATTTTTACAGTATGGTTAGTGAATTTTAAATTAAGATATAAATAAATATAATCAAAATAGCGACTGTGACACATGTCGTCCGTCGACTTATAGTTTAATAGTAGTATTACAAATAGTTGTATAATAGTGAGTATAATGGTAACCTAATATATACACGTTATAAATAATAGATGAGCTATAAAATATATAGTAATTATTATATTTTGATATTAAATAAGACCGGTATGCTATACAATTTTTTACATTTTCTGCTACTTTTGCCCATTCTATGTCAGATCCGTTTAAAATATTTATAACGTTTTCATAAGAAAGAATTGTTTTACTAAAGTAAGCTAAACGAAACTCTTGTAGAATTGGACAACGGCCAAGAAAATGTACAATATCTTCAGTCTCATTTAAATCACACATACTACAAATCGCAGATCTATCTACATTAAATCTGTTTCCGTTTAGCTGTATCGTGCTACTTCTTGCTTTGAGTATCCAGGTGATATTTGTAATATATGTTTTATCAACTATATGTTTCTATTCCTTTCCTAATATATAAGAAAATCTCAACGAACCAACGTTATAAAGACTTAACGCTACGTTGGTTTGTTGAGATTTTCTTATATATTTGTCTCTCAAATCAGTTTTCAGAAATGTCACCAGCAGTTCATTATTTGCCTTCCAAAGTCTTCGCAATGCTGTTTGTTGATTTTAATTTATATCGCAATCATTTCCCAGCTCATTTAGAACCCAAGAAAGGTTAAGATTTAACAATGTTTTGGTCAATTGATTGGGTAATCTTTCGGCGTCATATATAAACATGGTTTTGAAAATGTAATTGAGGTGCAGTTTTAACGTATGTCCATCTTCCGGCCCAGTCTCTAACATTAAAATATAAGTTGGCGTAAATTGTGGCATTCTTAACATTTTCTTTAAGAAGTATAATTGGAGTTTATCTACCTCTTCGAACAGAGTGCAACCCCATACTTGAGCACAATGTGTTTGTATTGCTCAACTTATTGCTAGATATAGATTCCATTTTGCTTTTATAAGTATGTTGGTTTTATTAAGAAAGTTTTTCCACGTGAGATTTATATTATTTTTAGCTGCAATAGTTCTCTTCTCTACATGCTTCCTAAAGTTTGTCACTGTCACGCCTAGATAGCAATATTCATTTACTACTCTTATTTCTTCTCTACCGAGATACCATAATTGCGGATTTACTTAGATTGACTTCTAAATTTCAACTGTGGCAGATGCTTCCAAGTTATAAATCCTTTTTTGCAGCGTCGTTATATCGTCAGTCAGTATGGCAATGTCGCCGGCATACATTAAAGTTTGAATGTTTAGTTCTTCTATGTGTATGCCTCCTTCCAAAAAATCATGTAACTCATTGAGATAAAGAACAAACAAGTTTGGTGATAATAAATAACCTTGTTTCACCCCACTTACAGCTGGAAATTCATTAGATAGGTCTCTCCCAGTCCATACTACGCATTTAGTGTTCGAATATATATTTTCTAGAAAACTCGAACTGCGTGAAGCTTATAAATTAATGCCTTTCGAGAGACCTTATCGAAGGCTGCTTTAAAATCTACAAAAAATGTATGCGTTTTCTTATTGTTTTTAAAATTTATCTGTACTATTGATGACAAGTTGTAAATATTATCCACTGTAGAATAATCCAGCCTGAAATTCGTTTATTATTCTAACATGTTACTTTAGGTCCAATTTGTTAGCCAGTCTGTTACTACACCCATCATCACTTTTGCATCACAATTCATAAAGGATATTCTTCGGGAGTTGCACGGTAATCCTACCTTTCTTATATATGGAGTATATTATGCTTTTCACAAACGATTCGTCAACTATATCGCTGTTAAACATGTCATTACAAGCAATTGTTATCTCTGATATGAGGTCATCTGGTGAATATTTAATGAATTCATATTGTATGCTGTCTTCTCCCGGAGCTTTGTTTTTTTTGTTCGCTCAGTAAACTCTTTCACTTCTCTTAGTTTTATAGTTTTGTATAGCTCATAAACTTCCATATAACCGTAAGCAAACGTTGATAATGGATATACAAACTGATAATAAAAGTTTGTAATTTATTAATACTAGGACAAATTTCTTAAATTCTAAGTAGTTTCATATTTCATTAAAACTTACGACTAGGTTTACTATATTATTAATTTGATTGAATTTAAGTTTAGTATTTTCATTTAAATATGAAGTCTTTTTCTCATTAATAATAAGTTGAAAGCCTCTTTGCATGGGTTTCATTATCCTTTTAATACTCTCTAAAGGACATCTATATTAAATATTAAAACATTGTGTATAAATAATTTTGAAAAACTATTAAACATTTACATTAACTGAACCAGTGGAGATAGTTTATGTAGTAAATAGCGAAAAGGTATATGAACTGAAAATAAAAGTGTGTACGGTAGATATATGGTAATAAGAATCTGTGTGAAAAGGATTAAAGTTTAAGTAAACCCTTATTTAACTAGGCATTTTATTTTAATTAGTAAATTAAAGTATGGCCGCACACCTATATACACGAGTATGCATATATATACATCATATTATTGTAATACTCAATACATAAATTTAATACAGTTTATTGATTTTTTAATGAGTTATTCGTAAACTAATTTTAGAGTAAATTTTAAATTACAATAACTATTTTTGTGATTAAAAAATTATACTTGTACAGGCCTATTTACTTTGTGAAAAGAATATCTATATAAATTATACTGATGTAAAAGATTTATTGCCGTACTAAACTATAATAATGTTACGGATATCACATTCTAAATTATTTTTTAATGATGTCTTTTGTAAATTGTATATATAATTTTTAATTATTTTATTTATATTTATAAAACCTTACATTAAATATATTTATTATGTATTATATTTTTGATATATTTATTAGTAATTTATGTATTATTATTTTTTTTCAAAATATATGTAAAGATAAAGCTTTATTTAAAATTTTGTTAATGTTAATTTAAATTTTTAATAAGTTTTTACGTGTTACTTATAAATAATTTCATGAATAATGAATCTTTCTGTAATTGGTAAATACTTGTTTATAATTATATGGTTTAATAATTTTAGTATTAAGAATTTTATATCTTTGAAATCTATTTCTAACAGAAAAGGGTTTTAAAGTTAGGAAATGTTTTAAAGGAAATCCATTTCAAACATGCAGCAGTTGCAGATATGTCTAGATATGCATTAACTGTGATCTTTGAAAACATTTCACGGCTTAATTGTCCGTGCATAATTTTTAGACAGCAAATATCAATAATTAAACTAATTGTTCAATATACGCATAATTTATCCAAATTTAGAGTGTTATTAATTTCTGTGGTTTATTCTAAAACAACTATTGTACTTGTTGTGCTTTTAATTAGAACAAACGCATAAACTACAGTTACATTTATTAACTTAATCATTGTTTGTAGAAAACATTTTTGCATACTTACTTGACATTGCTTATATTCTAAAAAAAATTTGTATGGTTGTTTTTTTGCAAGACAGAGAATTAAATGTAACAGTTCAATAGTTTACTTTAATGAAATAAAATTTTTGTGTATCAATAATGTCTACTGTGAAACTTTCTGTATAAACATAAATAAATTTGTCAGCATCGAATTAAATTACAGTCAAACTTCCATAACTTAAACTTCACATAACTCGAATTTTCTATAACTCGAACTAAATAGAATGCAACAGGATTTAAAGAGCAAATTATATGCACCTAGAAAAAAATTCTTTAACTCTAAGTTTCCATATGTCCTTTTCCTTTTCTTTGCAAAATGTTACTTTAAGTTATGGAAGTTTGTCTATATTTAAACTATTAAAAATGGAATTTTCTTTCAGTTGTTATTTATTAATTTAAATTAAAAAAAAGTGGAATGAAACAGAGAATATATCTGAGACTATAGAGCACCCACAGCGATTCGACAATAGAACTATTTAAAACGCAACGGTTAGTTATCAATATTTATGTTTATTATATCAAATATCTTATAAACTTCATATTCTAATAAATATGACTCTGATTATGCATTAACAATTTTATAATAATATTTAAGTGAAATCACAATTGCAAGTCTCGTCAGAAAATTAAAAAAAAAAATAAAATGCTTATCATTATTCATTCATTTTCCGAACCGCAAAATAATAAAGTAATAGTTTTTTAATAAATTTTAATTAGAATAGTTAAAATTTTTTACTTATATATCAACGCGTCTAAAAATTATTTTTATCTAGTCAACTATTTCTATGTATACTACAAATGCTGTTCATTTTTTGTTGTGTACAATTATACCTAAATAAACTTATTTGAAACAATTTAACTAAATATGTTCGCTTCTACATATATATATATATGTATGCTGAGATATTAAAAACAAATATATATAAATAAATTCTATGTGAAATATTTTAAAGTATTAATTCTCTAGATATAAATCATCATAAGCAAACTTTCTAGCCACAGTTGTTATAATACTTCGTATAATTTCCGATATAGCCACATGTATCGATGATTGAAGTTCATTCCAGACATCCCGCCAATTTTCATTTAAAAATTGATTTAGATGATTTCCTAAAGCTTGGTCTCCATTAAAAAGATTCGTAAGGCTTATTGACATTCTAAAAAAATAATAAATAAAAATAAATTGTAAAATGTACTTTATTTATATTGTAGATATCAGTATTTACCTTTCAGGTTCTATTAGCACCTTTAATTTATCTACTGTTATATAAGTTTTTCCATTTTTAACTATTATGGATGGCTTGAATTTAACTGAAAATTTTGGCTTAATGAGTGTTATATCAGCATCGCCATCCCCACGAATAGGTAAAATTAAAATGCGTCCATCAGCTGTGTATTTACCGCGCATTTGTAGTTTCGGAAACGAGCCATACATTTCAAATTTACTCGTAGATGGATCACGGTCAAAGCCACTACAAAAACAAAAAATTTTGAAATATTTGAAATTAGTATATTTTAAAATATACAATTCCTATATTTTTATTGATAAATAATTAACTTCATAAGCTTTGTTTAGAATTATATTTGATATTTATTTTCATTTTTAATATTGACTTATTTTGTTTGATCCTTCACTTTTACTAATGCATCGGTTAATAATCTTAATAAATTTATTTAAATTAAATTATTCTAAACGTATAATTTTTGAAATTATTAAAATTTTTTAATAAAATCAATATTTTATGAATTAAATGTAAAAAAATTCTCTCATACACATGTACGTCCGATATATCATTTCAATTTCATTAATTATATTCTCATTCATATTTTTTAAATAAACTTATATTATATCATTTATCGTATAATTTAAATAATTATATAATTCAGTATACTGGTTCTTCTAGTTTTGGAATTTTTTAGTTAATCATAAACTTGTTGTTTTATAGGTATTATATTATAATTAAGTAATAATGACTATGCTTTTGTTTTAAAAATCAATTTATTGGATTATGAAAAGTTATGTGTATTATAAATTAATCACTTTAAAAACACTTCTTTGATGATATTTGACTAACGTATGTAAAATATTCTAAATTTTTATTATTAAAATAACTATAATAATTTAATAATTAAATTAATCATATAATAATAAGTGATTTAAAATTATAAACTATTCACAACTGGAATTTTGTTTTATTTTTAGAGATAATTTCATTAAATGTTATTTTTGTAGGAAGACTTTTGAAAGTTATGTCCTAATGTGATCTCTAAGCATTACACAATTCTGGTTCATTTTCAGAGAAAAAATTAAATTTATTACTTATTTATTATGAGAGGTAGTCATAAAAAGACATTTGAATATATATTGAAAATAGAAATGTGCTGCTAAATCACAGTTTTTTCTTCGTTTAAACTTATTTATATTTAAACTTATTTATTTTTTTCTTATTTATAATTTCAAATTTACTACAAGAAGATCTTCAAATTATATATATGCATGTATGCATGTACATCGCAGTTTAGGTATAAATAAATAGCCGAAGTTAAGGATCACAAAGAGTAGAAACATCTCGAACTTGAAAAGCAACCGAAAATATACTAAAATATATTTGTAATATATTAAGAGCTAAGATCAAATTAATGTAAAATAATTAAGTATATAAATTTGATGTACTCATATCAGATTTCACTACATATTTCAATCATATGTAAAATGGTTAAATATTTTAACACGATAGTGCTATCGATGTAAAAGTGGTGTTTAACTGAAAAGTCTTTTTTATTCAACATATGAAATCATATATAGCTTACCTATATAGTATATTTACTGAAAACATATTTAAATGACTGATTATTCCAATAATACTAACAATTATTAGTTATTAGCAGAATAGTATTATGTTACTAAGCCATTTTGCTTATCATCTATCTACTAAACTATTGCTTCAATTTAAACGGAAATGATTATATATAAAAATAGAAATAAATAAGAATTTACTGAATGAAAGAAGTTGATATATTACTACTTTAACTACGTTCACTTTAGTAAACAAAAGATTTTTGTCAATATTTTATGCTTTATTTAGACTGTTGTATTTCACAATAGCAACTAATTATTTTTCATACAAAATCTATACAAAAATTCATATACAAATATGCTAAAGACATGCAAAAAGTCTAAATGTTATAATACAATACTATTAATAGCATGTAATACTATGTAAATAACATACTATTAGTTGCTAATCCATTAAAGGATTAAAAAATTTACTTAAGGATTGTGGTAGACAAAAATGATATTTACAAAATGTAAGCACAAAATAAATATCTCAAATATTTATTATTATAAATTTTTTATAATAAAAAGTCTTCACATTCTAGACTTGTTGCACAAAAAAACTACATCAGTCATATATGGATTAAACATATGCTATTTTATGATTTTTGCTAAGATTTTTAAAGCCAAATAAAAAGGGCTTTTTAAGAGGGTTTGGTTAAATATATACATTTCAATTTAAAGATGTAAGTACTATTATTACTAGTGTACCAAACGTATATTTATGTCTTTACGACTAAATAATTTATGTCATTCTTATGTGGAATTAATTAAAAAAAATTTTAAAAAAAGTTACGAATGAAATGAAATTTAATTTCATTTTGACTAAATGATTTAGTATACTTCAGCCTACGATTATTTTTTTTAATTAGACTACAATACTGCTTTATGAATTCGTGCGTGATATAATTTTGTTAATTTATTTAAGCTTAACAGATTCATAATTTTTATTCTTAATTATATAATAAATAATTAATTACATAATTTTAGTCATTTAATAAGCTTGTTGAAAATCAAATCTGACAACATATTGATATTAGTATGTAAATTTATTGCATACTATTTTAAAAGTTGAGTAAGAATATATTAACATATATTTGTTTTTAAAGTTATTCAGAAAAATTTCATTATTTTAAAATTTTCGTATATTAAACAATATAACTTATGAATTCAAAGGAATTTTGATTTCAATTTTGTATTACCATTAATTATATAACAACTTTCAAATCTAATACTTAGTCATTCACGAAAACTGCATTTTATCACGTTTTGCAAGAACTAAATTTTAGCAAATTTTGTATAAGAAATTGAACACAAAATTTAGGATAAAATTTTTTTACAATTTTTTCAAAAATTTCCTGAGAAATGAAGTAATTTTAAAACAAGGTAGCATTACTGTCACATGTTCTTTAAAAATACGTTTTAAAATATGGCATGAGGCCTTATGCTCCACTAGGAGAAAAGGATAGCAGTAAGTAAGCAAGTAAATTCTTTAAAAAGTTTTTTTTAATAAAAAGAAAGTAAATAATGTTAAAAAGAAAATAATTTACTCAATATGTACAAAAACTCACACTGCTCTGTCGATCTGCACTCCAGAAATTCCTTCAACACGAACATCTTTAAAATTTAATTTCAAACTTAATGAGCTCTCACGTCCATCGGAGATATCAAAACGTTTTAACAGAAAAGGTTCAATAACTGGGAAAGCTGCCTCTGGATATCCTGTTCTTGCATATTGACGCACTAAATTCATTGATGTACGCGTGATGCAATTTGTATCGCCAGCATGACAACGCGGTATATCAGCGGCTATAGGCCAAAAAAAATATAATAAATTTAATTTTTTGAATAATTTAAAAATTGAGGTGCAAGAACTACACATTTTAAAAACGTACGAAAATTAGAACTGCAGGAGCACGCGGCTAGTAAGGAACAGCACCAAACTGCCAAAAGGCTTAAATTGTTGGCTTTAAACATGACAAAAAAGAGGCGTAAACACAGTTTAAAATTCTTTATTTTTTTTTATTAGTTTCTTTTTATTAAATAATTTCGTCAAATTTATTATAAATTTATGTAGACCGAATAATTGAGTAATATTAATTTTTATATATAAAAATGATGGAAAAATTAGAAAAATTTCGTTACTAAAACTAAAATTCTAACGCGACATTTATGGCCAAAAATTTTTCCTCCAAAAATATTGATATTCTATCGCCTTACGAAAACACACTAAATAAACACTTTTTGCGAACTCTTGGCCAAGTTCAATGTTAAACTGTTAAACAGTTCTGGACAAACGCCAGCATTTATAACATTTTCGCGTCTCTACTATTATTGTCAATACGATGTTTGTATATAAATTTTACAATTCTACATATTTATAGAATAATTATTTATTTATTTGATTTCATATAATTTTTGTTGTTCTTTTTTTTGGCGGTTGTTTCTCTTTAGCGAATTTTGTTTGTATTTAAATTCTTAATGCTCAGTTCAAAACTGGCCCGTAACATTTTTACTACACATAACTACTCAATTTATAGATTTGCTGATACACACAAACATTATTATTCATAAATAAAGTATACAAAATAATTTTGAGACTTGCAATAACAAATTTAATATTATTAACAAGTCTCATTAAAATGCGTGTAAGAAACTCTACTGAAAGCTGACTTCGTTCCTAGAAGTGATTGTGTTTTTTTTTAAATTAATATTTTTTTTTCAAATTTTATAGTCTACAAATTGTTGAAATGGAAATGAAAATAATACTATGTGTAATATTTTTAATAGTTTATTTTTTTACATACGAACTTTTCTCGATGTACTCAAATTTATGTACTTACAGCGTTTTAGAATTCTTTACAAGAATTACAATATATTCAGTTTTTGAATCCAGTAAGTGCCATTTTTCAAAAAAAAAAAAAAAAACTATTACATGGATTTTTTGTTTCCGGGTTTGCTGACCTCTGTAATGCCATTTATACTAAACCAAATAAAATGCTAATGCTATGATATTTGTGTAATATCATATGTAATGTGTGGTCCTTATGTTCACTACCAAAGGACTGCGTTATGTTTTGTATCAGACCACAATGTTTTTCAAAATGTGTTTTTTAGAAACTATCAGGACAATTCTGACAATGATCGTTGAATGTATTTTGTAAGATCTTCGTAAGATCGACCGGAAGATCGTTTGTAAAATCTTTTAACTATCTCAAAATAAGTCTTATCATATATAATTCGTAGTAGAAAGCTGTTTTGTTCTACTTCTTTCGTGGTGAAATTAAAAACCAGCTGCTAATCACTACCCCATGCAAGTAAACAATTGAATTTAAATACAAATGTGATGAAAATACGCCAGAAGTATGATTCATTATTATTATTATTATTATTTATACATAAATATTTATTTACTGATTATAACTCATGTCATAAATGAAATGGTAGCAGCTATTGACAGCAATTTTAATTAATTTATATTAACAGCAATAGCAGTGGCAAAAAAATTAATTAGTTTTAAAATTATAGCTTGAATATATAAAAATAAATAAATAAATAGATAAATAAATCAATGTTAACTTAATATAAATAAATATTAAAATTAAGTATTTAAAAAATATATACATTATAATTAAATATATAATATATATATTTTAAAATTTTTATGAAGCCAAACAATTCATTAACGTTTGCGTCATATTAAAAATAAAGTTAGAAATAATTATTCTATTCCTACAATTAATCAATTAATTAAATTAATTTTGATTAAATTGATTCAATTAAGTATTTAAAAAATATATACATTATAATTATATATATAAAAAATATATTTTAAAATTTTTATAAAGCTATAAAGCTTATAAATAAAATCATAGCTGACAATCGAAAGATTTAGCCGATCTTTCATTTGGTCTTCAGAAAAACCTTTCAAGGTTTCAAAAAATGGTCTTTTTCAGTCTTGAAAAATACCGTTGCCTTTACGAAAGATCTTTCACGATAATCTTTTGCAAGATTTTTGAGTGTGGTGAGCTGAAATATCGTTGAAAGAATTGCTCTGTATCTTCAGTTCTGAACCTTTTTGTTCATTACCAAATAATAATGTAAACGGAACTATCTTGATTTAGTAAAATAAAATTCTTTTACAATATGATGTGAGCCTATATATATATTTGTATTTATATACCTATTATATATATGTACTCGATCACATATCGTGACCATCGAATAAAGAGAAAAGCTAATACTTTTTAAGAAATTTTTGGCGAATATTTATGCTCTTTAAGAATTATATAAAGTGAAGAGTGCTTGGCTATTTGACCATCTTTTTTCATAAGTTAATATAATGGTGTTAGTCTATTTGTATATCAATTATAGAGATATTGTATATATATCAATAATAGTATATATTATATATCAATTTTTTAGATGAAACTAAAAATTAGTTTGAAGAACTAATAAAGTCTTAAAATAGTCAAAGCTGAAGTATTATATCCTTTATTTGCAATGTTAATTTGATTATGTTTTATAAATTTATTTTTTATTGATAAATAGATCGAATATAATAATTAATTATTATGAAAAATTGATTTAACATTGTAGACATATATATTAGCGATTTAGGCAGTATTTTTTTTGAACTTTTTTTTTTGTACCGAAAGAGTTATTAAATAATTACGAAGAAAATTGGATCTGTCATAATAAAAATTTTATATAGCTCAAAAATAATATAATTCATAGCTTGCAGTTAGTATTAACTTATCGTCATAACACTATAACTGGCAATGATAAACGTACTTTCCAGCTTGTATGCTTCTTTCAGGATTTGAATTTGTATTGCTTAAATATTGCATACTCATCATTTAATAATAAAAATAATAATTCTTAAATGCTTTTTTTCTCAATTTTTTCCAATCAATAAATTTTTTATCACCTACCGGCAGCTGTTGTTGAAGGTGATCTAGTTTTGAAATTTAACGTCACTAATTTTTTTAGTTATAAAAACAAAATTTAACAAAAAAGTAAAATGTTAAAGTGCTAAAATTAGCAACAGATACAGATATAAATCCAATCAAGTTTTGCCAATTATGAATTATAGTAAAAATCAATGGATAATGATAAAATTGATTAATGATAA